TGCCCTGCCGTGCTAACCGCAGCCCCTGGCAGGTGGCGTTGCCGGCGCTGTCGCCCACCATGCAGATGGGCACCATCGCGCGCTGGGAGAAGAAGGAGGGCGACAAGATCCGCGAGGGCGAGCTCATCGCCGAGGTACCCGGCTGCTCCCGGCCCCAGAGCCGTCGTCTCCGAACGCGGCGCCCTCGCCGCCGCGCGCTGGGACGCGACGCTAACGGGGCGATTCTCTCTCTGCCGAGGTGGAGACGGACAAAGCCACGGTGGGGTTCGAGATCCTGGACGAGTGTTACCTGGCCAAGATCCTGGTGGCGGAGGGGGCCAGAGACGTCCCCATCGGCACCGTGATATGCATCACCGTTGAGAAGTGAGGGGCCGCTTGCGAGTCGAGGGAGCGGGCGGGCGTCCGGGACGAGAGCATCGGATTCACGGCGCCTTCCTGCTCCCTTTTCCAGGCCTGAGTTTGTCGATGCCTTTAAAAGTTATGCCTTGGATGCTGCCCCGGCCTCCGCCCCTTCGGCTGCCTCGCCGCCACCGCCAGCTCAGCCTTCGGCTCAGGCCCCAGGAAGCTCCTACCCTCCTCACATGCAAGTAAGAGCCGTTCTTTGCCGCTTTTCGACATCTCGTTGTCTGCCTGCGAGGACACGTTTGGCTCCTGGGCGCTGTTGCGTAGGGGCAGGCCGTGGCGGCTGTTTCTAGTGTCAGCCGTGCGCTGCGGGATCCCGAGGAGCTGCCCGTTGAGGCGTTTTACGGGGATCCCCGTATCGGCGAAGGAAGGAGGATCCACGCTCTCTGCCGGGCTCCTGCGTTGACGTGGTTCTCTTTGTTAGGAGGCTTTGATGTAGACTGGCTAAATGTGGTTACTTAGATGGCTTTCTAGCAACACAAAACGGGACTAAGATTATGGCACCGAGCAGGTTTTTGCTGCGATGGGGGAATAAGGTTTAAATTCGCCTGCCGGGATTAGACTAGGGTGGGTTAAAACGAGCTGCGCTTGAGGGTTATTGCTTTCCGACTGAGGTGTTTCTGCGTTGGCATACCCCGTGCCTGTCTCTTGGTTACTTGTGCAGCCCCCATTGCCGATAAACCGGATCCTCATTACCCCCTGCTCAAGCACGAGCTTTTTCCTATCCGCCTTGTACCGAGGAGGTGCCGAGTGACCCAAGGGACCTGTCTAAGAGGTCGCAGGAAAGTGGTGGTGGAGCAGGGATCTGAGCCCACTTGAATCCCAGTTGTGCTTCTTTCCTATTGCTTTCTTCTCGATTAGGTGTGGCTGAATGTCGGTTCTTCAACAAGTTCTGCTGTGACACGGGGGAAGTGATGCTTGTCGTGTAAACGGCATTATTGTAACGTGCGTTTCTTAAGCGCTCATTGCTGCGTTGTTGGCATGTACTCGGTTTAGGGCTGAAATGTGTAGCTTCTAGTGGGAGTTCGGGCTCTTCCCATTTGTCACGTTCCAGACGGGTGAGGACCCTGACCCCACTGGAAATCTTATTCCTCCTGTGTCCTTGGTTCTCCTTGCTGTGTGACCTTGGGCAGGTCGTTCCAAACTGCACTGGTTTTATCCCCCACTTTCTATTTAGCACTTCCTGTCTGTGGGATCTTGTAGTTGTGAGATGCTCTTATGTATTAATTGCTTCAAGCAAAAAAAGCAGAATTCTAGCAAGGCAACAGGGAGATCCTTTGATTTATTATTTTATTTTATTTTTATTTTTTTTTGCCTCTGGAGTGCCTTCCTTAGTGCAGGCCTTGTTAAAAGAAGCCAACTAGAGATGCAACCTCTCCCTGCCATCGTGAGGCAGTCAGGCTGTAGAAAGTAGTGGTACCGTAGCCTTAGTACAGGTTGGCTTGTGTCAGGGTTGGAGTTGTGTTCCCATTCCTGTAGGCTTGCAAAGGTCTGGTGTGAGGCACATGTTTTCTTTACCTCTGTAGATCGTCCTTCCTGCTCTGTCGCCTACAATGACGATGGGCACAGTTCAGAGATGGGAGAAGAAGGTTGGTGAGAAGCTGAGCGAAGGAGACTTACTGGCAGAAATTGAGACAGATAAAGCCACGATAGGTGAGCATCCCCCAAGAGCAAGAGAGACCTCACTTTCAGAGGAGAGTGATCCAGGGTAGAGCTTTGCACCAGGCCGTTCTCTTTCAGCATTGCAGGACCAGAGGCCGTGCCCTGTCCTAAAATAAGCAATTTAAAGTTATTTCTGTTGTGGCTGTCGGTGATGGAGTGGATAGTAGTAGATCCCAACTCATCAGCCTTTTTGTGTTGGACCTTATAATACATGGAGCCCTCTCCCCAGTCGGTCTTTTTCTAAAAAAGACTGTTTCCAGATCTGCCAAATGGCAGAGGTAGATCCTGGTGGGAGTTATCAGCTTTGTGTCACCCTGGTGAGATTGAGGCACCTGTTTCTCATTGTTTTAACCGCCTCCACTATTCAGCAAACACTTTTTTTTTTCCTTGCAGGCTTTGAGGTGCAGGAAGAAGGGTATCTGGCAAAAATTCTGGTGGCTGAAGGAACAAGGGATGTGCCATTAGGAACCCCACTCTGCATCATTGTGGAGAAGGAGTCTGATATCCCAGCATTTGCTGACTATAGGGAGACTGGAATAGTTGACATCAAGCCACAAGCACCAATACAGCCTCCTCCCTCACCAGTAAGAACAGCCTTTGATGAGGAAGTGTGGTTGGGAGGAGCCATTCAATTAGATTCATTTGCTATGAATAACTTTGCGGGTTGGAGGTTTGTGAACTCTTAACTCCAATTATCTTTGTGCTGTCGTGAGTGTAAGGATAATGTGAGCACTGGAGATGGATGCAATCCCTCAGTTGCTCTGTGCAGTCCATCCTCCAGGAAATGGAGCAAATTGCTCCATATGGCCTCTTTTCTGGGCCCCCACCGATTCTAGTACTAAATACTCCAAATGGTGGGGCTACAAATTGCTTATTTACACCTTCCTCGGAAGGATGGTTTCCAAGGCTAATCTGTTTCCCTCTCAGGGAGGCTCTTGCTATTTGGATTTTTTTCCTTAATTTCATGTTTTCATATCCTTCTGCACTCTTTTAAATTCCTCTCCATTGTATCTAGTGACTGTAATTGTTGCTTTTGCCAAGCTTACTTCTGTCACCATCTGTCAGTCTCTCCAGGTCCGTGAATCCCCTTCAACTTTTTACTGTTTTTACTGATTCTTTTTCCGTATGACGTTTTAGGATTACAGCATTCATAGATTAATATCTAAATTTGATAACCATTCAGCTGCTTCAGGGGTAGTTGCACGGATTGATTTTTATAAATGATCTAATTGGGCAGTCATTCATAATGTGTTTCATAATTTCATAGTTGGTAGGGTCGGAAGGGACCTGAGCAGATCATCAAATCTGACCCCCTGCCATGGGCAGGA